CATATATCTGTTCTTGTCATGGCACTCACTTCTTCAGGGTATATACCTAGTAATGGAATAGCTGGGTCAAATGGTATTTCTAATTCCAACTTTTGAAGGAATTGCCATACTGCTTTCCGCAATGGTTGTACCATTTTACAGTCCCAACAGCAGTGTATGAGTGTCCCAATCTCTCCACATCCTCACTAGCATTTGTTATTTTGTGCCTTGTTGAACTTTGCTGCTAGTGCTGGAGCAAGACGGTATCTCATTGTTGTTTTGATTTGAGTCTCTCTCTGGTAGCATAGTGCCTAAGGCACCTGACTGCTAACCAGAAGGCTGGTGGTTCAAACCCACCAGCCACTCCTCGGAAGGAAGATGGGGTAATCTACTTCCGTAGTAATACTGCCTCAGAAAGCCAAGGAGGGGTCACTGTGAGTCGGGTCCAACGCGACGGCACATAACAACAACAACAACAATGGCTAATGATCGTGAGCATTTCTTCATGTTTGTTGGCTGCCTGAATATCCTCCTTGGTGAAATGTCTATTCATGTTTTCTGCCCATTTTTTAATTGGATTATTTGTCTTTTTGTTATTGAGGTGTTGGGGTTTTCTATAAATTCCAGAGATAAGTCCCTCGTCAGATATTGCTGTAACATTTTTAAAAAGTAAATGTGTATTCAGACCCAAGCTAGTGAATGAAGGATTGACCTGAAGGAGCCAACAGTCTGTCCTCCTGAGAAATCTGAAGTTAGTTCCTCATCCTGGCGGACTTTTCCACGTTGCACTTTGCTGCCACAGACTGTGTGGTGTGTGTTTCCTTGAGTGCCAGATGTTAGAGATTTGAACTAGGAAACAAAACATTTGGTCTCTGGGTTTGGAAAACAAGCCTGTCGTGACAGAGGCCTGTTTACCTGTCCTTGGTGCGGGGGTGCTTTCTGGGAGGCCTCAAGCCAGGGCCATCCACTCGCTGCATGTCTTGTTCTCTGACAGATTCTGTGGTGGTGCCCCCGTCTGAGCCCAGGTGTGGGAAGCTCACCCAGTGGTCACACTGTCCTCGTCTCCTGTTCCATGACCAGGTGCTGCCCCTCCCGGTGACATCCCTCCCTTTGACGCCACCGCACGTCATGCTCTGCTTAGTCCTTCCAGGATAACCTTCCGCTTTTCCCTTTGTGACAGCACTTCTCCTAGCCGGCAAGTTGGGTGTTTTTCCATCCAGTTCAGCACCGTCTTTTAATTGGAGTGTTAAGTCCATTGATACTTGCTGTGACTGTGGTTCCATTTGGGTTCTTACGTGCCATCTTAGTTTGTATTTTCTCTTTGTCCTGCCTTTTCTGTATTTCTTACTATTTTTAAAGGTTACATTAGAGATTGGGCAATCTACTTCTGTAGAGATATACCGCCTCAGAAACCCAAGGAGGGGTTGCTGTGAGTCAGCATTGACTTGTCGGCTGTGAGTTTGGTTATTTTGGTACATTAGAGATTATAATGTTAGTTGGAGCTCTGGTGGCACAGTGCCTAAGGCATTTGACTGCTGACCAGAATGTTGGCTGTTTAAACCCGCCAGTCACTCTGTGGAAGGAAGATGGGGCAGTCTACTGCTGTCAAGATTTCCCACCTCAGAGACCCAGTGGGGGGTCACCTTGAGTCAGAATCTAGTCAATGGCAGTGAGTTTGGTTTTTTGTTTTGTTGTTAGGTGCTGTCGAGTCGTCTCCGACTCCTAGTGACCCCATGCACAGCAGAACGAAACACTGCCCGGTCCTGTGCCAGCCCCACGATCCCTGGTCTACCTGAGCCCATTGTTGCAGCCGCTGTCAGTCCATCTCGTTGTCACGCTGTCAGTCCATCTCGTTGAGGGCCTTCCCCTTCTTCATTGTCCCTCCAGTTTGCCAAGCATGGCATCCTTCTCCAGGGTGTGGTCCCTTCTGACCACGTGACCAAAGCAGGGGAGACGAAGTCTGGCCATTCTCACTTCCAAGGAGCATTCGGGCTACACTTCCTCCAGGACGGATTTGGTAGAAGGGCAGTATGTGAACAGGGAGACAGCTGGGGGCAGGAGTGCATAGGAAGAAGGACACAGGGAGGAGGTAACTGCAGAGAGGAGGTGGGAGGAGAGCTGGTGCGTTGTGGGGAAGGCAGTCAATGTCATGAAGCAAAGTGTGTGTGAACTGCTGTGTGGAAAATGAATTTGCTCTATAAACTCTGACCCAGATCACAACAAAATTAAAACAAAAACGTGATGCCCTGCGGTGCAGCAGAGAAGCGGCGTTTCTAACTCAGGTGCGAAGCAGCAGGGGGCAGTGCCTGGCTGCTAGTGAAAGGGTGGTGGTTTGAGGCCCCCAGCTGCTCTGCAGAAGGACGAGGCCGTCCGCTTCTGTAAAGATGGCAGCCTTGGAAACCCTTGGGGGCATCTCCGCTCTGGCCAGTAGGGTTGCAGCGAGTCAGCATGAACTTGAGGGCAATGCGTTTGAAGTGTGCTTGGCTGCTACCGAAAGGTCGGAGGTTCGAGGCGCCTCGGAGGGGAGTGCTGACGGTCTCCTGAGCACTCAGCCACTGCAGACCGCGTGGGTCCCAGTTACATTCCGCACGCGTGGGCTCCGGGTCGGAGTCAGGTCCTGCTCGCACCTCTTAGCTAATTGGTTCCCAGAAGCAGGGCCCAAGCCACAGTGTGGCCCTGGTGCCAGTGGTCTGCACACAGCCTCGGGGCCTTGCTGGCCCTTCTCCAGAACCCCCTCGGGCTTCCGGTCCTTTGTTGCTGTCCGGAGCCGCTGCCTGGTTTCCGCAGCGTGCAGTCGCTCCTCGCAGTGACGCCCTCGCCGTGGGCTTGTCCCGGTGGTCTCAGCTGCAGCGGCTCTGACAGTAGCGTTGGGAGTCGTACGGTTCCTGTGATAGGCTTTGGTGCAGTTGTTTCCTAACCCCACGGGTTTGTTGCCTTCCATCACCTGCCTCCACTGCCGTCAAGTCAGTTCCGACTCAGTGGATCGGGTTTCCAAGACTGCCTACCATTTTTGCAGAAGCCGACTGCCTCGTCTTTGTCCTGTGGACCTGCTGGTGGGTTTGAACTGCTGACCTTTCGTTTGGCAGCCGAGCACTTAACCATCATGCCACTAGGATTCGTCAGTTCTTGAACATTCTCAGCCACTATCCTGTCGAGTACAGCGTTGGCCCCAGTCTCGTCTTTTTTCTGAGTCTCATAGGTGTGAGTCGGACCTCGCTGTTTTCTTGGATGGTGACCTCCTCTTCCTGGTTTTCACCTGTCGCCCTGTGTGCGTCAGGGTCGCTCCCAATTGACTGGTCCTCTGTGGGTTCTCTCCTGCTGGGGGCCGTACTGAGCGCTTTTCTCTCTTCCCTGCAGAGTCTCTTGTTTCCTCGTCTCCTTGGTCCCCATATTGGTCGCCCCAGTCCCCCCATAGCTAGCAGTCATTGTCTTCTGTTTAATTTGTGTCTCTGTATATGTTGTCAGAAACAGGGCTGCTTTGGGGGATGCTTTGAAAGCTTTGCAGAGGTACCAAAAACAAAAAGTCCGAGCCCACTGCCATTGAGTCAACTCCAGTGCGTGTGAAGGCTCCTGCACTTCCATGAAGTGTGTACCAGTCAGGATCACGGTGGCGCAGTGCCTAAGGCACTTGTATGCTATTCAGAAGGCTGGCGGTTCAAACCCGCCAGCCACTCCTTGGAAGGAAGACGGGGCAATCTACTTCCGTAGTGCTACCGCCACGGAAACTCAAGGAGGGTTGCTGTGAGTTGGAACCGACTTGATGGGAATCACTAGTAAAGCTTTATGGCCCCGGCGCTAGGACCCGGTGGAGAGTGGCTGTGAGCACCAGCCTCCCTCGGTTCCAGGTGTCGGCCTGAGGGCAGAGACGGGGTCTTCTGTGGTTGGAGGTCCGGGTGGGTGGGCGGGGCCAGTGGGCGGGGCCGCGGTGTGCGGCCTCCCTCCGGAGCCTGCGCAGAAGGCTTGGCCTGGGCGCCAGCGGTGAGCTTCCTCTGTGGGGCGAGCCGGCTGGGGTCGTCTCTCACAGTGAGGAGGGTGCTCGGCCAACGGCCAGGCGTCTAGTGGGGGACGGTGGCCGCCTGCTTGGGACAGGACCAAGTGGCAGTTGGGGGTGTGGCAGGAGGCGTTAAGAATGGCTCTCAGCTGGCACCGTGCCTCCCCGGGGTCCACGACAGTGACAGTGGGTTCTCCCTCCTTGAGGGCCCCATGAGGTCGCAGCAAATTGCCACTTCCAGAGCTTCTGCTCCAAGGCACATTGCCCCAGCCAGACCTGACTTCCTGAAGCAGGGCGGGCCAGGCCATCTCCTCCGCGTCACCTGTCCTTGCTGATGGGGAGGGGACACCAGGAGGGCTCCATGCGGCCATGAAGGGTCCAGGCCCTCGTGGCATCCCCGAGGGGTCTCCAGGAGCCCTGCCCGGGGCCCATGTCCCCGAATCTGATTGCCTGCGGGTGACAGTGGCGCTTCTGCTTCTGTGCCCGGGGGGAGGAGCCGGGCTGGGCCTGGGGCACGAGCGAGCAACGGGCTGAGTGCAGGGCCCTGGCCTGCGGGGGGGCTCGGGGGGTGGGACTAGGGCAGAGAGGCCCCCACAAGGGTGCCCCCAGGTCCCTCAGCAGGTGTGGGGGGCTCCACGCTCTGGACCCCTGCCGATGCAGGCTCACCTCAGGGTGGTGGGGCCTCCTTGGGGAGCAGGAAGTGGGCCCCTGCTAAGGACCACCGTCCCCGACTGAGAACGTTGTCTCTTCTCTCCGCAGATGAAGGGCGCCCTCACTGAGATCATCCAGCTGGCCACCCTGGACTCGGACCCCTGGGTCCTCATGGTGGCTGACATCCTCAAGTCCTTTCCTGACACAGGCTCGCTTAACCTCGACCTGGAAGAGCAGAACCCCAACGTCCAGGATATCTTGGGGGAACTCAGAGAAAAAGGTAGGCAGCACAGCTCTCACCCTGCCAGGGCAGGGGACGGGTCTTTGTTTTCAGAGACGGCTTGGTCTGTAGTGTCGCGTGGCTCTGTGAGGGCCAGTGGGGTGCGACTCCAAGACGCCAGACCCCCACCGTTCCCCCGCCCCCCCCGCGCTCTGCTGCCCTCGGCCGTCTGCCAGACACGCACGCTCCCGACAGCCACACGCCGGGTCCTGTTCCTGCTGCCTCTCCCCGCCGGATGGGCAGCCTCTTGAGGGCAGGGGCTCTGCTCACTCAGGGTGGTGTCTCCAGGGCCCAGAACATTCCCTGGCCCAGAGTAGGCTCAGAGATGTGTGTTAGAAACACCCAAAGTTCCACGGGTGTGAGCGTGAACTGGAGAGACCGTCTGCAGTGGTGTCAGAGAGTGACCTCTGAATCCCCTCGTTCAGAGTTGGAATGGAGGCTCCGTCGGGTGAGCCCTGGCAGCGGGTGGCGTGCCCTCCCACCCCGGCCCCCGGCGTGCCCTCGCCCTTGCGTGTGCTGCTCACCTTTCCCTCTGCCATTGCGTGTTGCACAGAAGCCTGCGGAGCTCTGTGAGGCCTCCGGGAGCGCTCTGTCCTGCTGGGCTGTCCGACACAGGACCCTGATGGGATCCGCACAGCCCGCTGGGTGCTGGGTCTCCTTGGTGCACCGCGCAGACCCTGCCTCTCTCGTAGACGTGGGTTTACCAGTCTGCTGGCCGTGGAAGGAACGGGGTGGCGGGGCCTCTCGGTGCGGGGCCTCCTCTCCTGGGGAGCGGGAGTAGCAGACAGCAGGGACTTCTGGCTGTGAATGTTCCGTGTTTGGCATGTTTGTCTCGCGGTTAGTTTCTGTAATGATTCGGTCACCTGGGAGGCCCTGCCCTGAGAGGACTGCTCCTCTTCTTGTGGGTCATTCGGAGCGTTAGCTCCAGGTCGGGCACAGGGCTTCCTGTCCCGAGGCCCAGAGGAGACTGCTGCCCGGGGCCCCAGTGAGCATTGGAGACCAGAGCCCTGCAAGTTTCCTGGGTGCCTTGGGCGTGTGTCGAAAGCCTGTCGGGGTTTCTGACTTCAGGCAAGCGTGAGCTGCCCTGCGCACAGAGTTGCGTGTGTGGCGCGGCCCTTCACCAGCCGTGCTGTGGACTTGGGGCTCACAGACGCCCAGCCTCCCTGCCCCCACGCCATCTCAGCCCCTGCTGAGCGCCCCTTGTTGTCCTTGACAAGCAGGCCCGCTTAGGCCTTGAGTGGTGGCTGACTGGGGAGCTGCGGGGTGGGCGAGTCAGTCATCTGTGTGCACGACAGGAAACCGAAGCAGTGCGGAGACCACAGCCCCAGGTGGCGCCGTGCCTGACGGCCTCTCCTGAGTGGGGCCCTGACGTGCTGTGTTGTTCTCGACGCACAGTGAGTGAGTGCGAGGCGTCGGCCATGCTGCCGCTGGAGTGCCAGTACCTGAACAAAAACGCCCTGACCGCCCTGGCCGGGCCCCTCACGCCCCCCGTGAAGCATTTCCAGCTGAAGAGGAAGCCCAAGAGCGCCACGCTGCGGGCGGAGCTCCTGCAGAAGTGTAAGTGCCCGCCGCACGGCCACCTCGCGCGCCTGCCCGCCTGCCTCACCATGTGTGCCCACAGCGCCCGCCTCGCCACGGCGCCCGCCTCACCACGGCGCCCGCCTCACTGCACACACCCACCTCACCTGCCTCATCACATATGCCCCTCTCAGCACGGCGCCTGCCTCACGGTGTGCGCCCGCCTCATGACAGCGCCTGCCTCGCGTGTGCACACCTCACCCCCTCACTGCACACACCTGCCTCATTGCACATGCCACCTCACGGCCTCCCTTGCAGTGTGTGCCTGCCTCAGGCACTGCCCTGCGCCCGTGCCCACCTCACGTCATTTCCCCATCTTGTCAGCCGTACGGGCAGGGTCTGTGGGGGTGTTGCAGGGGTCACGTGTCCGCCCTGTCGGAGCTCGCTCTGTGGAAGTACAGCTGTTTGAGCCTCCTAGTCAGTTCCTCAGTGAAGAGATATTTATGTGAAAACAGAATCTCTGGGTTTGTGTCTGAGCGTCATACTCCGATGGAGCCCTGGTGGTGCGATGGTTAAGCACTCCGTTAACCAAAATGTTGGCGGTTGGAACCCACCAGCCACTCCATGGGAGAAAGATGTGACTGGCAGGTGCTAATGTCCTGCCCCGTCCCTGCAGCCACCGAGACTGCCCAGCAGCTGAAGAGGAGCGCGGGGGTGCCCTTCCATGCCAAGGGGCGGGGGCTGCTCCGCAAGATGGACACCACAAGTAAGTCCTCCAGGGCCCCCGGCTTGAGTGGTGGGGGGCGCGGGGGTGGGGGACCTCACGCCTCCCATCAGACACGTGACGGGGCCTGTGAGTGTGGGGGATTGCATGTCTCCCATCAGGCGTGTGATGGGGCTCCTGGGTTCAGGAACCTTGTGCCTCCCGTCACATATGGCCTCACACAAGAGGTCAGAGGTAGCAGTCAATTCACTGTCAGCATGTGACCTGGAAAATGCCACTTCCCACATTACCAACCCCACTGAGCATTAGGGTCTGGTGACTGGTGCCTGGAAGGTCGCTACAGGCCTGTGGATGAGGGCAGGCTGGTTTTAGGAGCCTTCCGGCTTCCAGTCCGATGGCAGGAAGGGCTAGAACCCGCTCCCGTTTTTTCCTCCCCGTCTGTGACTCTGTGACGGCCCCGCCTGGGTGGGACTGTGTGTGGCTGCCGTGAGCTGGTCCTTCGACCCCGTGCCCTGTCCTGCTTGGCCATTGCTGGACGCTGGCAGTTTCTCTGCCAGTTTGGAAGCAGGGGTCCCGTGGTGACGTCAGCGGAGGGCACCAGCAGCCCTCCCTACACGGCCCTCCTTGCATGCCAGCCCTCCGCACACACCCATCCTCCCACACAGCCTTCTCCCCACACAGCCCTCCCCGCTTCCCTGCCCTCCCTGTGTGGTCCTCCCCAAGGCCTGTGGACTCCTTCATGGGGGATGAGGCAGAGATGTTCCTGTCACTTGGTCCCAGGCACTGTGCTAAGCTGGTGTGTTTACTTTTCTGTCTGGATCAGTGTGTACGGCTCTGTGGGGGGGGGGGGTAGAGAGAGGAGGGTGTCGGGTGAGTGGGGAGGGCTTGAGCAGTGGGGGCTGGGGCCAGGCGAGGACAGCTGTGCTACCTGACCAGCTTGCCCGTGACAGATGTTGTCCTCGTCATCCTCTGTGCAGACCAGGCGGGAAGGAGGCCCCCTCCTTGTAGTAGGCTGTTTTGGCCACACTCCTGCAGGGCTGGGGCCTCTGCCTGGGGCCCCCAGTCCACTGACAAACCTGTCCCCTCAGCCCCACTCAAAGGCATCCCCAAGCAGGCACCATTCCGCAGCCCCGCCACCCCAAGCGTCTTCAGCCCTGCCGGGAACCGGACCCCCATCCCGCCGTCACGGACGCCACTGCGGAAGGAGAGGGGTGTGAAGGTAGGCCTGCTGCCCCCACCCTGCTGCCCACCATAGCCGGCCCTGCCCCCTGGGCTCTGTCCCTCGGTGGCCCCGCCCACCCCGTGGTCACGTGTGAGGATCTGTTTGTCGGCAGCTGCTGGATATTTCTGAACTGGACATGGTCGGTGCTGGCCGGGAGGCAAAGAGAAGAAGAAAGACTCTAGGTGTGTGCCCGGGACCACCCCTCCTGTCGGCCTCTGCGGGGCTGTGAAGGGTGGTGCGGCCCCTGGGAGCCCGCCTGGGGGCCTTGGGCGGGGCTGGGGGCCCCTCAGATCTCGGGCTGCCCGGCTGCCGTGCTGCTTGGGTAACACCCACGGACACAGGCTTGTGTTGGCCCTTCCTCCTCCTCTCCTGGGTGGGGGCTAACTGGGGACAGTATGGTTTTCGTAAGAAAGTGGCCTTTAACAGAAGAGAAGCGACCGTCCATGGCAGCGGCTTCCCCGAAGAATTTCCTCTTCCCTGGAGGCCTTGTCAGCCCGTACTCGGGGCAGTCTTTCAGCGCTGTCTTAACCCACCCTCAGCGGCTAACACACACTGTTCCGGCCGAGGGGGTCTGGCTGGGTCGGCACGTGTAGAGGGCAGGTGGGGGCTGCCAGGGCACTTAGGACCCCACTCTATCTGCAGACACGGAAGTAGTGGAGAAGCCAGCCAAGGAAGAAGCCGTTGTGGAAAACGCCACCCCGGACTATGCAGCTGGCCTGGTGTCCACACAGGTAGGCTTGGCCCAGCCTGGCTGCCGGGCGTCCTGTCCCGCACCCCACTCTTCCTGGCTCTGCACACGGCCCAACACGAGCTCCCTTTCACTGCAGTTGTTACCCATCCCAGAATATATATGTGTATATATATATGTATGTACATATGTGGACAGATATGTATGTATGTATGTATGTATGTATATGTATATGTATATGAGAGACGGCACAGGGCCGAGAAGAGCCCCGGTTTGGCGTCAGACGTGGGCTTGAAGCTCGTGTTTGACCCCTCGCTGGCTGCAGGGTCTCCTCGGGCAGGTCCCGCGCTGTCGGGGAGCGGCTGTCCTGTGGCCTGGGCCGAGGGCCGGGTGAGGGGCACAGCACCTCGGGGGTCTGGGCTGCCTGCGCTGCAGGGGCCTGGTGCCCACGGGCAGCTCTTCCAAAGCCCTAACTCGGGAAGCGTGGCAGGTGGCACCCAGCCAATCCTGAGCCCGCCGGGAGGCTGGGGTCCCGCGCTCGGGCGCACGCTTCTGGGCGGAGGGCTGTCGTCTTGCTCGGCTGTGTCCAGCGTCCTTACGTGAACACGTCCGCGTCCGGAGCTGTGCATCTGTGGCAGGAACTTGCTCCTGTGTGGTGTGGGCAGCTCCCCAAGCAGGAGAGCCACGCCCCCCACGCCCCCCACGTGGTTGGTCCAGGCGCCAGCTGGGGCGGGGGACAGGGCCTGCTTCACCAGCCCTGGGGGCTCGAGGCTTGAGGAGCCGCCTTCTCCGACTGGGAGGAGCCCTGCCGCCACTGCCCGGTGACTGGGCCCCTGGACCGCTGCACCTGCTGCACGGCGGCGCCGCGTCCCTGCGGGGCAGGGGGCGTGGAAGCAGCGGCCTCTGCCCAGGGGGACCGGAACCCTGTCTTCCAGAAACTTGGGCCGCTGAACAATGAGCCAGCACTGGCCTCCACCAGCTACCTGCCGGCCACGCCCAGCGTGGTCCCAGCCTCCTCCTACGTCCCCAGCTCCGAGGCCCCGCCAGGTGAGCCCGTGGGTGACCTCTGTCCCTCAGCCTGCCCTGCCCTGCCCCGCCACGAGCAGCAGCCCCCGGAGTAGCAGGACTGCCGGGGAGAGGCCCAGCGGCCCAGCCCGGCCCCAGCTCCTAGAAGCTTCTGGCTGGAGCGGAACCCATGGTCTCCCCACCTTCCCAAGCCCAGGTGGTGCTGTGTAGGGTCAGCAGGCCTTTCACCAGGGCATCTCCCTCTGCCCCTGCTCGTCCCGGCAGAGGGCCACTGCTAACACCAATAGCCTGTCTCCGCGTCCCCGGCCAGCCCGGGAGCCGGTCAGTGGGGTGCGACAGGAATGAAACCCCCCGGTCGTGAGTGGGGAGCCCGGCTGAAAAGGCTGGGTGGCAGGGGGCTCACAGGCAGAGCTGGACTTGGGCTGCTGAATCTGGCCTGTCCTCCACTGGGCTCAGCGCGGCCACCCAGTACTTGGCTCCGGGCAGCTTGCCTGGAGGGCTGGCTGAGGGCTGAGGAGCCCGGAGAGCATGACCCAGGGGGAGCCGTCCCCACCCAGGATGGAAGTCTGGACGGGGTGGAGGCAGGAATCCGGAGGTACCCCCGCACCCCTCAGCCCAGCCGGGGCACGGGGAGAGGGGAGCAGGAGAAGAGAACAGGGCTCTGGGGCCTAAGCCCACGGTTCTCTCTCTGGCCTCAGGCAGGCTGTCATGGGCTCAGACCGGACCTGGGCGACATCTCTGAGCCAGCCGCCCGTGGGACATGTGCCCACCATGGGGTGCGGGGGTGGCCCTGACACCTCCTGAGGCAGGTGGTGGGGGGAGGGTCGCGTTCTTGGTGATAATCCGGAGAGTCGTGGCCAGTGGACCAGGCTGGAGCAGGGTGCTGGTCGTGGCACCGCCGGCCGCAGGGCCTCACTGCCCCCGCTCTGCTCGCAGCACCGTCTTCCCGGGAAGCCAGCCTGCAAGCCAGCCGGCCGTCCGAGGAGCCCAGCAGCCCCAGCCCCACGCTCCCAGCCCAGTTCAAGCAGAGGGCCGCCATGTATAACAGCAGCCTGAGCCCAGCCACGCCTGCGCCTGCGCCCGCACCCGCCACCCCCACCTTGCCCCTGACACCCACCACGCCCCCAGCTGCCAGCCCCGCAGCCCAGACGCCCCCGGTAGCCATGGTGGCCCCACAGACCCAGCCCCCGGCCCAGCAGCCCAAGAAGAGCCTGTCTCTCACGGTAGGTGGTCACTGGCGTGGGTACTGGTCATGGGCCCACTATGCCTCAGGGGCAGGCCTGGCCCAAGCCACCCAGATAGGTGGGGCGGCCTCAGGCATCTGCACCTCCAGTCTCTCCCCAGACCAGGGGTGAGGCTGCGGGGAGCTTGGGGGAGTCTTCCAGAGGAGGGGAGGGTGGTCTGGCAGGCTCTCAGGAGGCTGCGTTCCACCCACAGAAGGAGCAGATATTTGCCGCGCAGGAGATGTTCAAGACGGCCAACAAAGTCACGCGGCCCGAGAAGGCCCTGATCCTGGGCTTCATGGCCGGCTCCCGAGGTACGCCTGCCCTGGGCGGGGCCGGGGTCGGCCCTGGGCGGGGCCGAGGGCGGGGCTGACCCTGCAGTCCTCTCCTGCAGAGAACCCGTGCCAGGAGCAGGGTGACGTCATCCAGATCAAGCTGAGCGAGCACACGGAGGACCTGCCCAAGGCCGACGGCCAGGGCAGCACCACCATGCTGGTGGACACGGTGTTCGAGATGAACTACGCCACGGGCCAGTGGACCCGCTTCAAGAAGTACAAGCCCATGACCAACGTGTCCTAGCCGGCCACCCGTGGGCCACGACCGTGGGGCTCCAGGGAACCATGGCTTCGCTCGTGTGGCCGAACAGGCAGACGGATGGACACCTGGCAGGCCGCGGTCCTCCCCCCAGCCTCCTGGACACGCGGCCTAGCCCCAGCCTGTTTAAGTTCTCCACTTCTCTGGGTGTTTTGGGTTTATTTTTGGAATTTTAATATGGGTTATTTTCTGAGTGATTCGGGATTTTTGGATTCGCTGTTAACGTTTTGGGACATGAACCAGAACAGTTCTCACTTCCCGGTTTGGGGGCAGCACTGTTTGCCTTTTACCTTTGTTTTTTCTTGGAAGAATTCCACTGATTGGGACTGGAGGGGCTTGTGTTTGCCAGTGCCACGCCCTTCCCCCAGGTTGAGGGGACCAAAGGTGGCGCGCTGCCATGGATGTTGTGGCGTCCCCTGGCCATCCACCAGGGGTTTTGTATTATTTTGTCTTTTATATAGTTGTGAACATTTCAGACCAGGTCTTTAGTCCGTATTTTCATTGTAAAACCACCTGAATAATTAAAGTTGAGCTTTTCTGAGAATGCACGGCCCAGGTTTATGGCCGCCCCTCCTGCTCTGTCCTCATCCCCCTACCCCCAGGCTGGGACCCGAGAGCCAGAGCCTCACTGAGGCAGGGTGCAGCAGGCGTGGGGGTTGATCTGGGGCGGTGCTCAGTGGTCCCTCAGGGAAGACGGAGTTGGCGAGGGTCCCGCTGCAGGGCTAGGAACCAGTGATCCCTCCCCTTGGGACTACTTCACCTTGATCAGCAATTTAGAACCAGTTTAACTTAGAGGATGTTTTTCTTTCCAGAATTAACCCAGGTCCCACTTGTCCCTCCAGTCATCATCCTGCTGTGTCCCGAAGCCACATGGCATTCAAAGGCAGAGTTGACAGTCCTGAACGTGGGCCCCCACTTGACTGTGCAGTCGGGAGAGCCGGAGGGCGGTGGAACCAAGGCCTCGCTGACCACAACCCACACCAGAAACTGAAGTCCCAGACATCAACACACAACCTCACATACAAACACACTTAAGAAAAAAGCCTTTAAAAATTTTTTAATACAAAAATACTCATACACCATTTTCCAAACACAACTTTCCACTTTAAATGCTATTTGTCCCCAACTGGCAAGTCTCAAATCTACATTTCAGTATATTCCCCCCCCCCAAAAGTGAACTTCAAGTTTTTAAATCTAACTATGGAGACTGGGGATAGCACCGGTATCCTAAGGGGCGCTCTCGCCTGGCCCTATGTTGTGGAGGAAGTTTAGACACCAGTAGGCACATTGGAATTTATAGTCAATCTGACAGGGCAGTTCACAGCTCAACAGGGTACGGACCCGTGACGCCCAGTGGGGCAGCACCTCACTGGTGGAGGGACACTTGCAGAGGACTTCTCGCCGGGGTCTCCAGGCCAGGGCGTCTGGCAGCTGACCGTCTCACGTGCTAATTGGATGGAACAGGCTGAATTCCTGAAAGGTAGTTCTAGGTGGGGACTGCATGTGTTAGGGTTGAGATGCCAATAGAAGTTACTCAGAGCCGACAGACTGTAAACCTGAGTGTGCGTGGCCCCGGTGGCGTCGGCTGCACCATCACTGGGAACCAGGGCCCCACTCGGAGTCGGGAGTCCCTCACGGGGCAGATGGCTCAGTCCTCACCATGGGCCTGCGGTGCCAGGCTCGTCACCCAGCCGGCCCGTTAGAATGGCTGAATCTGACACGTCTCAGGCCTACACAGTTTGAGGCACCACAGTTGTAAAGAGGTCCAAGTGCTGGCCCGGACACACGACAGCGTGTGCGCCTCCGTGTTGACGTGCCTGGGCACCGCTAACTCGCGCATGTGCACGTTGAGGCTGGTCCTTGAGCTGATTGCTGAGTTCTAAGGTGTCTGGGCAGGTTTGGATTTGGTTTGGTTTTGCTTTTGCTTCACAGTAATGACACAGGACTGAAGCTCCCATTCACAGTTGCCAAATCTTCAAAATTTCCCCAAAACGCCTAGAACAGAGGCAGGCAGGCCACGTCCTCGCACCCGGCCATCAGCTCCAAGCCATGTTTTTGCTCCAATTTTCAAAGGTAGGCTTTTCTGGATTTTCAGAGTTAGTGTTATTTTCTCATTAGCTTAGCAGGTTTTAGAAACAGGAACCATATTTAAAATAATTTTCGTGGTATTTCATAAAGATTATAAGAGAATTTGGAAATATATCAAAGTGAGTCAGAACTCCCAAGATTTTCACCACTGTCAAACACAGGTTAACCTGTGTCATACAGCGCACCACAGGCCAGCTTTTTTGCAGCTGACAGTTCCCTCAGTTGTTAGAGAGGTGCTTCTGGTGAGTGAAGACAGTACACACCTGTTCGAGGCGCCCTGAATCTCACCATGGCCTACCTCCGGGCAGGCTCCGCCCTGCCCACCTCACCTGGGCTTGAGAGGGTTCCGGTGGGAATACAGTGATGCCCTCTGGTTTTTCACTGCCACACCCTTCCATCTTTTGGCAGGACATACATCTATGAACTGATGCACCATTCGTTCTCTTGCACACTGAGAGGTTAGCATTCTGAGGAGAGCTGCTCCCCCAGGACCATGTTTGTCAGACAAAGATGTGTCCAGGAGGAAGGAGCCTACATATTTGTAAGGAGTCAACTGGTTCTTTTTTGTTCCTTTTGGGCCCACATATGGTTCCTTCTCAGGACCCTGGCAGCCGGCCACCAGTCGGTACAACTGCAGTCAGCACACAGGGACAAGCTGGGCCGGGGCACGTCCAGGGACCCTCACACCAGAGAGGCCCCAGGGCCCACGAGGAACACTGCTGCCCAGAGCGTGGGCTGCAACCCCACAGAGGAGCTGGAATGGAAGCCTGAAGCCCAGATGTTACTGAGACTTTACAAGACACAAGGGAAGAGATGAGAAATGGACTGAGACCTCAGGAGAAGTTTACAGTTACCACTAAGGAGAGTTGTGTAAACTTTGCTGCAAAACGGGTGTTCTCCTTAGGTCACTAGAAGACAGAGCTGCGCCAACGCGCCTGCTCCTGAGTGTGCCCCACAGTCCTCCAGGGAGACAGCTGAGCCCCTGAGGGGCAGAGGCCCCCGCCGGCCCCCTTCTGGACGCTCGAGCTTCCCTGGGTCGGGAGGCCCTGGAAGAGCTCGTCACACCCTCCACACACAACTTCTCAGATGTCGCTGCTCGGGGCTGTGGCTTGTCTCCCGTGGGCAGCATCAGCCTGACGCCCTCGTGCCCACCAGCAGGTGGCACTGGGGCCAGCGTGCGTCCGGGAAGTGAAGACCACCAGCAGACCCCCACGGGCCAGTGAAACCCCTCTGGATGTCAGTGACTGAACCCCGGCTCTCGTGGGCCCCTGAAGGGTGTTTGAAAGCACCCGGAACGCGATGCGTCGGCAGGGTCTCATCCACTCCGAGCACGTGCTGCAGGCACCACCATCCGCCGAAGACGGGGCCACGCCAGTAAACACGTCTCAGTCAGTGCTGAAGTGTGAAATGGGCTTAGCAAAAATCTATCCATAAAAGCCAATAAGCGGTAAAGAAAAGCCCAACAGAAAAAATATACAAAATATTTTCCCAAACTGTTGGTAAGAACCTAGGGTGTTCAGAAGGCAGGCCCCAGGGGAGGGCAGCAGCGGCCCAAGGATGAGGGGCTGTCCGCATTTAGCTCCCGTCCTTGGGAGAAAGTGAGGAGACTCTCAAGCACCCTGTCCTTCCCACTGCTGCCGCCCAGCCCCAGGCCCGCTTCTCACTAGAATGGAAAACGTGTTGAGAGGGAAAACTTCACATTAGTATAACACCACACAGCTGGTCTCCCGAGCACAAGACGATCAGCACCAGGCTTTCCAAGACTCCAGGACAGAGGTCCGAGCCTCCGCGTCCGGCGATGCGATGCAGAAACCGAGGAAGGTTCTTCGGGTGAGAGTTCACAGCGATCCTTTAGGGAAACTATTCTTCCGTACATCTCAGGTAAGATAAAACCATTTCATATGCCAATTAATCTTCAACCTTAACTTCAACCTAGAAAAGTAAAGTGGGCGGGAACCCTGACATTCTTCGATTCAAGTGTGGCTGTGGAGCTGTGGGCGAGGCTGCTTTGTCTGGGCCACTGTGAGCTGCGCGGCTCAGAGCTGGCCGTCAGTGCAGAGGCAGCAGGTGCTGCTGACGTGGCTCGGAGGGGGTGACGCGCCCTCCCAGGGGCCTGTCCAGTGCCGCGGGGCAGGGCCGGCTCCTGCTGCCAGCCCTGCACTCGGCCCTTTACCCACAGGCTGGCCGCCCACCAGCCCTGGATCTGGCCAGGCCGCCAGGCGCTATTTGCCCTCGGTGACCCTCCGCCAACCCCGCCGCCTCTTCCTCTTTCCTTTCCACTGGATCGGTGCCGGGCAGACTCTCTCAGTCTTGGCGCCTCTGACCGACTCAGCACCCCCGTCATGCTCCGAGCAGTAGAGCCGTCCGTCCTGCGTGGAGCTGAAGGCCGCCCCATCATGGTGGTCCTTGCAAAAAGAATTGGGACAAAAGTGGCAAAACGAAGTAGAAGGTTTGCCACACACGTCACAATGGTGCCAAGGACATTCCCACTTTCCTGCAACAAAGCAGAAAACAACAGCCGTAAATGAGAGAACGGCAGCATGGCTGACGCGGTCACGGGAGGAAACCAGGCCTAACCAGATACATGCAAATTGAAACAGGACGCTGCTGCCCCAGCTGTCCGGGACGCCGAGCAGAGGGCCAGCCCGTCCGGGGCACAGGCGTGCCTGCTGCGCAGCCCCGCACCCTGGCGGCCACAGGGGTGACACCAGTTGCTTTATCTGGACGCTGCCTGTGCCCACAGACCATTCTGGTTGCTGCTCTGCAAACACTTCTGTGTCTATTTGGCATTGACTTAGGGGGGTTCTTGGTTAAGTGGGGTGGACACTCTCTCGTGCTCACTGCCAACATCCCTGTTCTGACACTCTCTTAACTAGTGGTTCAGCTCCCACCGTGCAGAGGTACTTTCATATAGTCAAGCGTTTCCTGGCTTCTCTTTTAGCTTTTTCCTTTTTGTCTTTGTTCAAAGGTCTCTTTGTTTTCCTCTGAGATGATAGTGAACAATTCCCACTGGAGTCCCCAGTCTCTAGGTTGGATGGTGGTGGTCTGGGCCAAGCCTACCCACTTCCTCCTGGGGAGAGGGCCAGGCTGTGGCCTCCCGTCAGCCAGTGGCTGCCCCAGAGCCTTGCCCCCACACCTGCCCCAGGTGGCTCTTGGTCTCTATCAGTGGCACAGGCGGCAAGCCCCAGAGGTCCCGGGGCCCCAGCAGGTCTGCATCAGTCCGTTCTCTCGGTCAGTCCTCTAGACTTGATGTGGGTACTGATGTACGTGAGGGACACTCACCCTCTGGGACAAGGGAAGCGTTCACTCCCCTGGGTCGAGGGCCTTCACAGCCCACGGGGACAAGTTTATGACCTGATGAGGTGTGGCACATGGGGGGCCTGCTGCCCAGCCACTCACCAAAGGGCCGCTTGCCCAGCCCGAGGCACGAGAGGTGGTAGGCCTTGGTGCAGAACTTGCGGTCACACAGCACCAGCTGGCCCCCGTCACCGCAGCGGAAGCACTCATCCTCGGACACCTTCTTGCCGTCGCCCTTTGTCCGACGCCTTCTGGCTTTCTTCTTCATCTTTTTGCCCTTCTCATCTGAAGACAGGGACGCGGAGGTCTAGGGGAGGAACAAAACACAGCTGGTTTAGCGAAAGCGCGACAGACTGAAGCAACAGTAAGAGGCCAGCTAGAGAGAGCCAGACAAGGGTGGGAAGACCCAGCGAGTGGACTCTGGAGCCCTTGGCATGATGGGGCACTCAGCCAGCGTTTCCTCAACTTCACTTACTGAATACCAAGAGCCGAACACAGACAGAAAAACGAGCTCTGCTGACAGCAGACAGGCCCACGGGCCACCCACAGGGTGCATCCTGGGTTCTTGGGGAGTTTCATTATCAAGGCATGAGCAGGCAAGAGATCAACACGACCCTCTCAGCTGAAGCAGCAGTGGTTTGAAAACCGTCACAAAGCCCAGGGACAGACTCCCAAAAGGAGCCCCCTCCGGGGCGGGCGGGGTGGCTGCCGCATGCCTTCCGGCCGGTCTGCCCAGCACTGGCCTGTGGTGAGCGGCCCAGGGGATGGCACGCCAGCAGCCGCTGCTCCCAGCCCCGCGCCTCACCATCCTGTCTGTCACGGCGTGCAGAAGGGACCTTGCTAGGGAACCTGCTCACTGTGCCAACCGCACAGACCAGGCCAGAGCGGCTAAGGCTGCCCACCAAGTGTGTAGTAGATGTGAAATGCCATGCCACACCCCAACCGCGTCCCAGGAAAACTCAGCCTCCCTTCCCTGGACGGTCCAGACCCCAGCTGCTGCCTGAAGCCCCTCTCCTCATCCCCCTTCACCTGGGGCCATGGCAGCGGGCACTGGCCTTCTCTGTTTCTTAGGTCTGATAATCTAGTACACTGACTAACAAACCCCAGGAGAGGGCGCCCTGTGACCCAGCAGAAAAAAGGCTGCATACCCACAGGGTGAAGACCAGGCCAGTCTCAGCGCAGTGCAGCCATGTCCCTGCCTAACAGTAGGCGTTCACTCGCTCCAGCCTGAAAGCTCACTGAGCTTGCACCTTCCAGGGCCTCTCCCAGCCTGCTGAGGCTCAGCACAGGACTCCCGGGTGGTTCCTCTCAGTCTGGTCAGCAGCCTCCATACCCCAGCACATCCCCACACACACCCCCTACCCTGGCACTGGCCTCAGGTGTAGTCTGACTGGTGGCAGCCAGGACCAAACAGCAAATTGTGGACAGGGCAGCAGCATACCCCCACGCAGCACCAAGTCACTATGAGGGAGTGTCCCCAGGTGTCTGAATGCCAGCCCTGGCTTTGAAATACACAGATCCTTCTACACACAGTGGCAAGGGCAGTACCTTTGGCCGATCGCCCAGGAATCCACTACAGTTGGAGGCTCCACACCGACAGACGGTCTTCTCATTGCCCAAACAGTCGAGGTTGTAATTAAAGGTCAGCTCCGTCCCTGGGGAGAAGGATACACGCTGTGCTAAGACACGGGCCTCCTCTGTGTGATGCCAACATTGTTAAACATCAAGGAAGGGTGACCCACAGAAGAAAACTTTCTATAATGCTGAAGGAATACGTGGCCCATGCATGAGACCTGTTTCTGTGCTTTGCACGTCTGTCCTGGATACCGCGGCTTTTCTATTCTGCTTTGTAAAGTTGGGATTCAAAGCAAACCTGACCCCTGAACGTGCATGCCCACAGCCTGTTTGGTATTAGCCACATGGAGCGCCAGGCCGAGCCCACACGGCTGAGGGGGCTGAGCAGTGCACCCAAGGCCACGCTACCTGCAGGTATGTCACACACGGCAAACAGGCCGACTCGCGTGTCACCGTTCACCGTCCACTTGAGGGTCTCGCAGTTGGGCTGGCAACTGTGGTTCATGAATCGGGAGTAGTTTCCTTTGGGGCCAGCGTCGATTATGCGGTCCTGCAGCGGAGATGCACATCTCAGAACACAGGCACCTCTGCTGAGCACACGAGGGGGGACTCGCGGGGTAGGGAGCTTGTTGCACTGAAAACCGTGGCATCCTGTGGCCACTCGGACAGGACACCCCCAGATCAGTCCTCTTTCTCTTGCTCACTGAGGCAGGTCAGGACCACATGGGAAGGACCGAGCCATGGCGAGCGCCGGTGAGAATAGGTCAGGGAACCAGCATTTCTAACCACCACCAACAGAGAGCAAGCAAAGGAGCCAGGACAAATCTTAGAATCACACGTGACTGGTGAGTGCCAACAGCCCACAGGAACTCTGACAAGAACAAGACCAAGATCCCAATTAAAAGTGGGCGAGGAAACGATGATTCTCCAAGAGCAACCCAGCAGCAAACGGTGAAGGCCAGATGCTCACATTCCTGAGCAGCTGAGGGAACACCAACGGAAACGCCAGCACCCCACTCAACGTCCCTGGTTCTGACAGATGAACACGTTGGGAGGGCCGGCCCACAGGAATGGTGGCAACAGTGCAAATACACATGCGTGTGTCCTGTCATCAGACTCCCACAACCCTGTCCAGAGCCTAGCCCAGCTCTGCACCCACACGAGTGGGCTCCCTCCTAGAAGTGAGAAACACAGACGGGGACTCGCACACCGGTGGCTCCGTCTGCAGAACACAGCGGCTTAGATTCCCAGGGGGTATGTGCGTGCCCGGGCAGGTGGGAGGGACACAAAGCAGGCTGCAGATACCAGTGGCCTGGAGAGGCAGTGAGGAGGTACTTAAAAGGCCACATAAAGCCATCACATCTGTGAACTCATGGAAACTCACGTGAGCGGCTGTAAATAAACACGTCAACACACCCGTCTTTAGTGCATAGCTCACACAACTCCTATGACACCATGGAAAGACAGGCCACGGGGGCACACCAGGGTCTCTGCAATGTTCCTCAGCATGGCCTGGAAAGCAGAGCTGTAAGGACCCTCCAGCCTGTTGGGGGACCAGAGGAACCCTGACCTTTGAGACCACAGCAGTGAGCAAGCCTCCAGAGAGCATCACTGACACACTGGAGGTGAAAGGTGGTGTGGACTTAGCCCTTAGAGAAATAGGGGGTTGGAAGGGCACCTGCAGTCTGGCCCTGTCCCATTTGAATTTTAACTTTGTTTATACTATCTTTTCTGGCTCAAAACTTCTGCAGCTGTCTTACTGATCTTTGCTCTGTGCATTGAGGGCTGTGACTAGCTATGACAGCCTTCCCACCTGACTTGGTATGAGAAGCGGTCAGGTCCCTGGAAGAGGCCGTCACAGCTCATCTTTGTCCATCAGTTGCTGTTGAGGTGAGCCTGACTCAGGGTGCCCCCAAGCGTGTCAGGGAAACCTGCTCCCCCTGGGTGCATCAGAGATGCTAGCTCCCCTGCGTGTGGCAGGGAGATGCGCTCCCCAACCCCACGTCTGTCAGGGAGACCCGCTCAAGTTCCCCCCATGGCTGACTTGTCAGGTAGCAGGCCTCCATTCTGAGGCCCTCCTTGGTAGGCCCCCACATCTACCCGGCTGGTTAGCAGCCACCGAGTGTTAACCGTCTGCACCCCCGGGACGCCACCCTCATGTGGGTGCTGCGTTATTTAGGGCACCATGGCGACGGTGCCGAGGCTGTGCAGTGCCACGACGGTCAGCGCCCCGCAGGCCTTGCTGCCTGGAAGGGAGCCACAGGGCCGTGCTGTGGCCCAGCCCGTGTTACCTTGTCTATCGTGAGCATGTAGAAGTGAGTGATGTCATTCTCGTGTGCGTATTTAATTCTCGCCATGCACTCCTCTTCGTCGATCAGCTCGCCGACATACTCATTCACAAATTCTCCCTGGGAGGCAGAAGGGTGCGACAGTAAGGGGCCTACTGACCGACCGCTAGGGCCAAAGCTCGGGCCTCTGCACCCGGACCCAGTACCATCAGAGTGGGGATGATCTGCAAAGTCCTTACGACTTAAAAGAAGCCTAAATGACTGCATATAATTTGTATAAATAAAGGCTGTCAACGAATAATCCATGCTAGTTATTCTTAAAGCAGCCACATTCTCACTGCTCCACGTCCAGGCTCCTGAGAGCACTGTGTGGGACCCCCTCCAGACCTCCACCTAACTCACCACTCAGGTGTCCGTATCCCTCACAGGGAGAAGATTGGGAAAGAACCTGACAGGCCTAAGAGAAAAACAGTCCAACCTGTCAGCAACCCGGGGGGCAGAGGGCAGACTGCTGGGGCCCGTGTCTGAAAGCAGTCCCCGAGCTAAGACTGCTGTCAGGGTTACCCTCTCCCGTGCTGGCCCAGCCCTGGGGCCACAGAACTAGCCACTCTGTGCATCTCTATGGACGACTGGACTTGGACCTTGACTGGGAGAGGGCTGTGCCTAAGGGCCTCTGGCACTGCCGTCTAAGTGCGTTCTGGCCTCTCTGGGACCGTCGTCCTCGTCTGGCCGCCACGTGCTAGGTGCTGGGTCCTGAGCATCCTGGCTGCTAGTCTTAGGAAAACTGTGACTTTCTAAATCTGTCATTTCCTACAGGTAGCACCAGAATTCTGACTGAAGACAAGTGACTTCTGCTTTGACAGATCTGCCATGTAACGTACACTGTTTTATAACATTCAGGACAATATTTTTAAAGCCCGTATGACCTGAACATAAACACAGAGTAAACAGATCTAAGTGGCTCCTTGGGTGAACCTCGATGTCAATAAGAGAAGGAGGAAGGCCACCACAGCCCACCTTTTTGATGTCCCTCTTGGCGACCAGGCCCCAGCCTTTGCCCTCAGTCTTAATGATCTTGGTCTCAGGGTACTGGCGCTTGGTGAAGCACTGGTTCTGACAGTACTCGCCCGCAGGGCACACCTGGGGGTGGCACTCGAACATCAACATCCTGTTCAAACACTCTGAATCAAAGCCACATGGGTTTTCATCGGTGGGCTTACAGTTGCACTTAGGAATTTCAGAAATATCAGCTGTGTAGATCTGAACTCTCCCGTACGGCTTATTCACCTGCAAAGGCAAAACAGCGCCTTAACCCATACACGCTGCATGTAAAGCCTTCCTGACCTCTCTGGCCCCACTCCTACCCCCACCCTACTCCAGCTCCTGGCCATGCACAAGGTCTCTAAACATCAGAGCCCAGCTGGGACACTGGGGGGGAAGGGAGTCATATAGCCCATATACTTATGACAACAGCCCTTCTCCCAGTCCTGGAGGTAACTCCTCTCTGCCAACTTATCACAGCAGTGACAGGAAAGCCCCTGGCCTGGAGGCTCTAAGGGACTGGAGTGTGAAGCCCCTACCTCAGCTTAGCGTCTGTGACTCTCATGTATGAAGGAGAGCTAACACTTATCCACAAAGGCTGCTGTGAGATTGAGAGAAAACGCAGGCCCATGTACTGCTGGGTGTCCAGCAGACAGTGCATGGGAGCACTCGCTCGGCAACACACACCCACCCGTTCGGGACCAGAGAGCAGGAGGACGGGACACGTGGGGAGTGGCAGGCACCGTCCTGCCTCATGAAGCCTGCGGTTTAACACTCATGGAAGAACAGCAACAGAAAGAATAAAATCAACAGACAGAAACGGGTGATTCTGAGATGTGGGAAAAGATGTTCCCTTAACAGGCTGTTGGGGTGCAACTGACGCAGCCCTTGAGACAGTAATCTGGAAACATGTCTGAGGACTCTAAAGACTGTCATGTTCTTTGATCCAGTGATTCCATTTCTGGGAATCCATCCCTAAGAAGTCTGAGATGCAGAGAGCCTTTCCTTACACCACAGGGCCTCGCTACAGCCCTGGAAAAGCAGGAGGCTGAGCTCTTGAGCTGGCTGGCGGGGGAGGTGGCGGCAGCATGGGCGGTGCCACCTCAGTGAGCCCTGCCTGCTGTCAGGACAAAGGTGTGCAGGACTGGCCCAGCAGGAGAACCTAAGCTTGCACGTGAGGAGGGGCAAGAATGGGCCTCCTACCAGGGCTTGTGGCCACCAGGGTGAACATGGGCTTCCATAAGGACAGGACAATCAGGGGCCCTACGTCCAATAAGCAGTCAGGTGACCATCTTCTGTCCAAGTTGGTCCCCAGCACTCGGACAGGGTTCAGTCTCAGCCCCTTCTGTTTCAGGTGGTCTGGTGTGTACTGTCATGCCAGCCCCTCTCTGGCCATCAAACCACACCTCCCATTTCAAGGCCCCTGAAGGCCTTGCTGCCCACTGCACTGGGGACAAGGGGCAGCTCTCGGGGGGCAGCTGTTGCTGCATCTGCCCAGGGCTTCCTGTGCAGCCTCCGCACCAGGTGCACAGGTGCAGGTGCGGCCTGGTGCTGCTGGGCCCGCAGGCCTGACCGCATGTACGGTTCCTGCCGCAACCACTCCACCGTGTGTGCACGCGCGCTGCTCCACAAGGTCACCTTAATGTGCTTGTAAGGAGGGGGTTTGCGCTCATTCTCCTGGGTCTCTCGGGCTTCCCTCTGGAGTCTGATTTCTCGAAAGCGAGCTTCAGCTTCCTGCAGCGCTAAAACGTCAGTGAGGAACTAGTGAGAATTTCAGTTAATATATATCTCCCTGTTCAACTCTATTTTTTAATAGTTTACATTTTCACTTCACCAGTAAGTGTTATCTCTAGTTTCCACTGTGATACTACAAGGCATTTTGAACAGAAGAATGCTCAAAGAGCCCTTGGAAGCTGCTGGACACCAGCTTGGCCTGGGAGGCCTCCCCAGGGACAGGTTTCTGTTGGGTGGGGACTCCCAACAGTGCCCCATCCTCCACAGGGATTTCAGGACAAAGTACTAGGCATCAGTATTTAGGACTCACTTATGCTAAGACTAAAAAAAATTACGGCTGTTGAGTCAATTCCCACTGGTAACAACCCTACAGGACCCCGCAGAGCTGTCTCGCAGAATTCCCAAGGCTGTCAATCTTTACGGAAGCAGACTACCCTATCTTTCTCCCACAGAGAGGGTGGTGAGTTCGAACTGCCGACATTCTGATTGGCAGCCAAATGCTTTAACCACCAGAGCACCTTTATCCTAAGATAGAAAACAAAAATGCAATCTTACTCACTTCAAAGAGGAAAAGGTCTCTGACGGGTGAACAAGTGGCTCTAGCAAAAACAAGCAGCTGAAGTTCCAAGAGCCCATGTCCCGCAAACCTGCCCTTGGCAGTGGGTCATGAAGGCATACTGCTCTACAGACTCCAGACCAACAGGACGTGCACTAGTTGAGGCCAGACTTCAACACTTAGAGATGGCTATAACCAGGGACGTGTTAGTCTACCTCTCAATTCCCATCCCTTTGCATAAAGGCCAACTCATTCTCATTCAGACCTCTAGGTATCATTTGTGTGCTGAGGAGCCAGAGGGGAGACAGGCTCAGGAAGGCCTCCTCCCCACTCCCAGCACAGGCAGCCTGCAGCATGGAGTGCACCGTCAGCTGGGCTCCCTTTCTCGGCCTCTGCCTGTGACAGAGCATCACTCTCCCTGAGCGGCCGTGTGGTGTGCTGCGGCTCCTGGCTGCCCTGCCAGCCATGTGTGTGTGGTGCAGCTCCCAAACGCCCTGACTGGCCATGTGTGTGTGCTATAGCTCCCTGCTTCTCTGAGCAGCCGTGTGTGTGTGTGCACGCTCAGCCCCCTGGTGCCGAGTGCTCGTGTGTGTGTGCTGCAGCTCCCTGCTGCCCTGAGCAGCCAGGTATGCATGCCACCAGCTCCCTGCTGTCCTCACTCATCCTGGACCCAATGTGAGTGCCACTTCCTCTGGGAAGCAGGCACATCTCTGTGTCTCACCCAAGCCTCAGTCTCGCTCGGCTGGCCACATCACACTGTCCTGACTCTGCCCCGACACTGGCTGTAGAACCGGAGACAGAGCATCCTGTTTACCTGTCCATACCTAGCATGGGGAGAGGCACCTGGTGCTTGATCCGAGTCTGCTGAACAGTAAAACGAGTGAAAACAAGCCCTGGTGCCCAAGTTCTACACAGCAGGAAAGAGGCCTCTAGATGTCCATCAATGTGAGAGCAAGCTATGACACAATCTGTGAGTTAACACTAAGAATAGCTTCTTAAAAATCAGATTTAGCGCATTTTAATGCAATTAGTCACAAACCAACATTTTATGTTAGTAAAAAGTACATCTTACACAACAAATCAATCTGCAGACTTAGTCTCTTGTAATTTAAAAGCATAGATGCAATGCTTAACTCCAGTAGTTTGTACAGAGATCACATTTTCAGAAACCAAACATAAGGATTAACAAACTGCACACAGAGGGCACTGTTTCATTTTCTATCCAGAAAACGCTGTATTATAATTTTGTGTCACTGTACCGTTTTTGAAGACTTTTCCAATTCCTTTAACTCCTTGGTATCTGCTGCCCCGATCGCCCTCCATGTATGGGAAGACTCGCGCCTGATGTGTCCAGTAATAATCTTTAGACCCAAAGAAAAACACAGGAAATTCTCCAATCTCGTGCTTCATTTTCTGAATATTTGGGGGGACATTTTTGGGATGGCAAACTTCTGCCGGCCACCATCTATTATAAATATTAAAAACAGGGTTCACAGACTCTTCAGAGACAGCAACACTTCATTACTTTAAGTACTTTAATCTACAGTGAAATGAACACATTAACTAGAAAAGGCAGAGAAGCAAGCATATGAGTCTACGTCTCACACCTGTAGTTCCCAAGTTTAACCCAAATGATGTCCTGGAAGTGTAGCTTCTTGCCAACCCGGCAGTCATTGCAGAACCAGCTGCCGTCAGGCATCTCGATGTTCAGGCAATCAGGGTGGAAGGCTGCCGGGCAGGACTCGCAGCACAGAAGGCTCCCCCCTGCAAAAGGGGGCGGGGCTTAGCACTGGTCTACTACAGGGAGGCTGAGCAGACAACTAAATATGAAACTACGGAAACCATTATGAATAGCAGTAAAAGCCTGGAAAAAGACTGAAGCCAGTACTGGGCCTGTCTTCAGAGGTCTGTGTTAAGCAGCAGCTGTAAGATGCACACTAACCCAGCAAGGGAACCAAGCAGAGGACCGCCTTCTGCACACAGACAGCAGGGTGCCGTGCAGGTGCCCGCCGGACCTCACCTTTGGAGCACACGAAGCACCAGCTCACGTTGACATGCGTGTGGTGCCTCTTCCCCTTCCGGGCAGTGAAGTGACCCGTGCAGATAATGCTGTTGGACGCAATCACCGAACATCCCGCTGCTAAGCAAGCATCTCCTCCGTGGTAGGCAACAGGGCAGCGGACACAGCGCATCATTTTACCTGGAGGCAGACACATGCTGTCAAAGGACCCACCAGAGAATCCGCACAAGCACACTGATCCCGCCACAGTGAACAGGGCCCCTGACACTCACTGAGCCACCAGCAATCTGGAATGTTAGCACTGCCATAAATGTGAGGTGCCTGAGAGATAAATATCTAGGATGGGGAGGGCAAAGCACGTTTAATAGATGCCATGAAAATGTTGTTGTTGTTGTTATGTGCCGTCGAGTCGGCCCCGACTCATAGCGACCCCTCCTTGGGTTTCTGAGGCAGTATCACTACGGAAGTAGGATTGCCCAACCTTCCTTCCGAGGAGTGGCTGGTGGGTTTGACCGCCAGCCTTCTGGTTAGCAGTCAAGTGCTTTTAGCCACTATGCTACCAGAGCTCCTGCCATGAAAATAGGCTTTCTCAAAAAGCTTCAAAAAACTTTGTGGGAAAGCTCTACATTATAAAACAGAAAACTCAATGTTTCTCAGGCTGGGCACTGCTGACGTTCTGGGCCAGATCATTCTTTGTGGGGGGCTCTTCTGTGCCTTACAGGAAGCTTAGCAGCATCCCCCACTTCCACCCACTAAATGCCAGTAGCATGCCTCCAAAACATCCCCAAACATTGCCAAATGTTCCCCGGAGGGCAAGCTGGCCCCTGGTTGAGACCCAGTGTTAACCAGCCATCCTCAATCTCACCCTCAGCATTAAATAATGTAGATGTCATCTGATTGATTTAAATGGTCTCTCCTCCCCTAAATGAAGGATCTTTACAGTGTACTTAGAATGGGAAGGAAGGAGAACGAGGGCAGGTCCTCTGTCAAAGAGCAACCCTGATCCAACAACTGTTACTCTACAGCAGAACTGAAGGTGGCCCTCTTTTGTGACACACCCAGCAGCTGAGCTACCACACCCACCTTCCAGAGCACCTATGTGACCGACCAAAGTGAAACAAACACGAAGCTGTGAGAGGTTCATCTGTACCTTTTGATGGTCTTGGATTTGAAGGGTTTGAAACATGACAGGTCACACAACTGTGGAGAGGACAACGAAAGCCCCGACTTTCAAACACAGTAAGAGGGTATTTTCTCACACAAGCTTCATGGTAAAATTTTCCACACTGAGACACAACACAGCGCTTAACATCTGTCTTGTTCTCCTTACACACGAAACACGAGTGCATCCCTAACAACGGTAAAGAAAAGGGTGGAGAGAGATGAGAAGAACAAGAATTAAATTGTGGTTCCTAAGCCCTAGGACCAAGCACCTCTCTCTGAGGCAGCCTGTGTTGCTCAGGATTGGAATCATAGCCCCTGAGCCCCTCTCTCTGAGGTGGCCCGTGTTGCTAAGCGACTGGAATTGAAGCCCCTGAGCACCTCTCTCGGAGGCGGCCCATGTTGCTAAGTGACTGGTCTCTGACTAGGCCCAACGTCCTTCAGAAAAAAATCCAGACAACAAGGGTTACCTTGCTGCGGTTTAAGCTCCAGCTTCACCTAAAACACAGGAAAGTCTTACTACTCAGACTGGGAGGAGACAGCCCACACTAATCGGCACAAGCTTGAAGAAAAGGATGCCTCTGAAGAAAGGCTTTTCTCCTCATCTTGAAAACAGTCAGCCAACTGTCAGGCCTGTGAGGAACCACTTGTACTCCGTGTGAACTCACTCATAATTGCAGGCAACTAAGCCTTGGTTTAGAGCAACTCTAAGACTCCAGATGCCGTCTGATCCCAGGACTTCTGACCAGAGTCAAGAATTTCAAGCCCATCAGGGACAGGAGGGGCTGCAGCTGAGGTGTGTCTGCCCAGCATTCACCCAGGTGCCGAGGGAGACCTCGGATGTGGGAACGTGGCAGCAGAACAAAAATGCTGAGCACGCAGCAGGAGTCTGATCTGCTTGTCCTCTGTTGGGACTGAAGCTCAGATGCACACGGCGTATTTGTAAACACTGCCTATCCCTATGACCATCAGTGCTCTGCAGTTGATAGGGCACTGTGTTAGGAGCACAGGTTCCTGGAGTCCGGGCACAGGTACCTGTCTTTGCCTGGCTCTCTGGAATGGCCATGTGCCTGACGGCTGCCTCACAAACAGAATTCTGGGGCCCAAGTGGCTGAAGGCCAAAGCAACTACAGTGAGTTCAACTCAGGTCCTCAGATTCCAGGCTCTACTATCTGCTGCTCTGCCCCTTGCCTCACTGAGCTTTCTGGTAGCATACTCTCAGTCAAGGAGTAATGCCTACCACCTGGAAGAGGAGGGCAGTCAGAGAACCAAGGGTTGGGGCTGCGAGGAGTGGAAAGGCCCATGGTGCAGGGCCAGTGCTTCTGGGAGGCCAGCTGAAGCATGGAGACAGGCAAACAGGGAGTGTCTGCTAACGGCCCAGGTCTGCGACAGAAAGCAAGCGGCTGGTGCTTCTGGGAATGCAGACCAGCGCACGTCACACTGGGAGCTAGGGAGGACTCCACAGTGCTCCAAGGTGACCTGACACACTCAGCAGCATGCCCTGGGGAACAAGCCCTAAGAGCAAGAACAGAACTTGCCTGAAGTACATTCACTGCAGGTGAATCTCCCTTCTGGTCTCCGGGAAAGCCCGAGGCAGGAGAGGTGGAAAGCTCCACAGCAGGGGCCTTCGCACAGCAAGAGGCTGCCGGTCTTCTCACACAGCTGCAGGGACAGAAGGGACGGTCAGCGAAGCGACACTGCACACAGCTTCCTCTGGCCTACGAGGGAAACGGCTTCATCTCGTCCATCTCCAGTGGTGGGCATCCCAGTTCTGCTACTCACACTGCACCGGGGGCACTCCGGCCTGTGCAGAGCCCACAGCAAGGACAGTATCGTGTCAAAGATAGAGGGCGAATGGCACAAAGATGGCTCTCACCAACTGTACAAGAAGCAAGACTGAAGCCCTAAAGGATGCGTTCAAGATACTTCCAATCAGATTTGAAAATCAAAAAAAACCACAGCACAGTTATCAGAAATCAAAAGCCATCCAACACTGCGACAGGTGCCAAGCTGCCTGTGTGTGGACTTTCAGGAGCCCTGGGGAAAGGCTGGGCAGAGAGAGGTGAAGTAACCTGCCCAAGGTCCTAGTGTGAGGGTACAACCGAGCCAGGACACTGACCCAGGTGCTAACCACTGTGCCCAGCTGCCTCACCAAGACGGACCAGATCACTGCAATGGACCACAACTCTGGTGACAGCCATCTCAACCCACAACCCAGTGCCAGTGACACAAAACACCGTCACTAGCTGGCACCTCAACTCTTCCAACCATAGATTTTTTTGTACACTTTAAAAAGTACAGGTGAATGTATGTGTACGTGCATGGGCATGTATACAATCACACCTGACGTGTGGGAGACGCTGCTGTGAGGGGCCTCGAGTCAATTTCAACTCATAGTGACCCCTTTGCTTTCTTTACAGAAGCAGCTCTGGGGGTGCAACGGTTAAGTGCTCAGCTGCTAATCAGAAGGCTGGTGGTTCAAACCTACACAGTGGCTGTGGGAGAAAAACCTGGTGATCTGCTCCCATAGAGATTACAGCCAAGAAAACCACATGGGGTAGCTCTATTCTGTTACACGGGATTGCTATGAATTGGAATAGACCAAATGGCACCCAGCAGCCATCTTCACAGAAGTTGGCTGCCACTTCTTTCTCCCATGGAGCAGCTGGGTAGGTCTGAACCATCAACCTTTTGGTTAGCAGCTGAGCACTCAACCACTGCACTGCCAGGGCTCCTTATATATGATACACATGCTATACGTGAAGGAATGGTGTCCGTCAAAGCAGCTTAACCCAAGGGTTCTGCTGGCAGCTTAGCCCCTTCAAAGCAAAATTCAGTGAGTGGGACAGGGAGGGGTCCGCAGGGGAGAGGGATGATCCATTTGCCAGCCCAGAGCCCAAGCTGACTCCATAACCTGGCAACTGCCACTTTCCCACTTACCTGGCACACACACTCCTTTTTGGCTGCCAGGCCTCGCTCCGACTTCTTAGATGAGACAGACACTTCAGTCTGTGTCTCATCTGCACTCTCATCCGGGGACTCTGAGGGCTCGTCTCCGGGGCCGTCCGAGACCTGGAGATGAAGGATGCAGATGATAGTTGAGTGCTGGAAAGCAGTGGGCATGACAGTGCCTCAGAGACAGCTCCTTACTGCTAACTACGTTCTGACTGGCCATCCTCAACTGGCTGTTGTGGGGACACAATCTGCCACGTCAGCTGTGCTGGGAATCGAAAGCCGACTTTATTCTGCTGGAGGTTTGGTACATATCTGTGTTTGAGGATGCAGATTTCACATTCTCTGATTACCCCTTAGAAGTGAAATGATGTTTATGAAAACCCAATTTGTTCCAGTGAGTGAACTAAGACTAGGTTCCAGATTGAGAACTGTGACTGCTCTTACCCGATCTCTTTAGGTCCGACTACTTTAAGGTAAGAGAAACACGTTAACAGCAAATCAATGAGATGCCGGGAGGAACGGAGACGCAGTCCTGGAGGCAGGCCCCTAAGAGGCTCCTGCTCCTCTCTCACTGCTGTGGTAGAAGCTCTGCCAGCAAGCTCAGGAGCCCCTGCAGCGCACAGCACTGGCCCAAAGGCCGTGACACCCAGCTTCCCAAATTCCTGGTGCCTGTAGGTCGAGCTGTCCTGTTTCTCTCCTTTCCCCCCGTGCCTGTCTACTGTTAGACATTTCACAGTTCACTCACTCACTCCTCACCAGAGAGGTGAAGTGTGGAAGGCAAGGTACCACTTGCCTTCGCTGGAAACATCTGAGTGGAAGTGAAGGCCTGGGAGAAAGACATGGGCTCCTTGAGCAAATGCAGGGCCTGGCCAACGGGAGTTCCTTCCTTCCGTGTTTCTCCTCCATCCAACAGAGATTAGAACTGGGCTACCTCCTCACTGTCATGTGACCAGCAGCATCAGTGTTTAAATGGCTAAAATAGGAAACCCTCACCTACTAAGCTTGGGTTTTCTTTTAAAAAAAGAAAAAAAAAGATGCACTTGGTTTTTAATTGCGATAAAGCCCTGGAAATAAAGGTTGAGAGCGGAGTTTTGGTGGTGGGAGTAGAGCAGGCACGTGAAGCACCTTTTCCTAGACACCTGACAGCCACAGCAACAAGTGACTGTCCCAGGCCCGCCACGCGCGGACGGACACAAAGCTGGAAAAACCAGGCTGTCCGACCAACTCTCAGGCCTTATCAATGAGCTCTTTCCAGACTTAGTCCATTGAAATGACAGGAAGCTGCAGGAAACACCCGGCAACACAGGAAGTTGTGCAGACTGAACGTCGGCATGACAGTGGGCTTTTCTCTCTGCCCACTGCTCTCGCCCTCCGCTCTCCTTGGGGCAGCAGTAAGGAGCTGGCTTCTGCACGGTCCTTTATGGACTCTGACTGTTCACTGTGGGGTAGGCAGTGGTGTGTGGACTCACTGCCCTGGTTCCCCTACTCTTGCCCCCGACACATCCCTTACTGACACAAAGTAGTAAGAAAAAGTGGTCCTGAAGTTTTGATTTCCTCACCTTTTCCAGGAAGAGGGAAACGGCAGCATTAGCAAACACTGAACTGGAGTGGAGTCACATGCTGAGGTTTTGTCCCCAGAGGCTGCTGGGGCAGAACCATGGGGGGGTCCACAGCCCCTCCCCCGCCCGCCAGCTTGCCTCCTACGCCTTAGTGTTGGGGAGAAGGGTCAAGAAGGCGACCTGAGACAACGCTCAGAGTTCAAACCCAAACCTAGCATGTCCACCAAACACGGAGTCAAGGGTGAGGTGTTGCGCACTTCTGAGGCAAGCCTGGAGGGGTGCTCAGGGAGCTGGGGGCGTCAGGCGGCCACACTGTCTGGCCAGGGTCCCACTCGTGAGCAGCCCAGATGGCCGCCCACAGGTGGCCCAGATGCCTGAGAGAGAGACCGAGGCACACGGAAAGCGAGTCTTCAACAGGGCTCAAGGGGAGCACGCCCAGGGCTCTGTCCACCAACCCACCTTCTCCCCTCAGTGTGGCTGCAGCAAATCCAAAAGCTACAAAAGAAAAAATGCACGGAGAGAAAGACAGAAAACACAGACCAGTCCTGGGTCAGAGGAAGGAACAGCACCTTTTATTTCAGATTTACAGAAAAAGTTAGCACGTTTCCACTTGGAGATACTTCCTAAGTTAACAAAGTCTGTTTGAGAAAATGAACAGTGAATACATATTCTGAGTGGGATAGCAATGCAAAGACACAGGGCTGGTTTCCTGGTCGAGGTCTGGGATACATACAGAGTCACAGGTGTGGAGAAACCTTACAAGGTTACAGTCGACACATCAAGGGCGAATAGTCTGACTTTAGCCCACCACACCCCTCTCACTACTGGACAGACACCTCGCACACAGTCAGGATCCAACGGCTCTCCACCCGCCAGCCACCCACAAGGCAGAGCCACGTGCGCAAAGGGGCATCACCACAAGCGTGCCTTCATCACTCCAGTTGCAGATTCCACCGCCACATGCACCAGGTGATGTTACTTACTCCGAGATGCCATTTTGAACACGACAAATTCACCTGTATGGTCCCATCCACACAGTCCCAAAGCTCAGTATAGGACATTTATCACCTATTCCATATCCAACAGGATGCATATGGAGAAAGAAAAATGTAGTAACTGAATGAATCGAAGACGGGGGTGTTGCCCTACACTGCCGCTTTCCAGTTACCAAGCCGCCCTGCAGCACTGCCTTCTGAGCAGCTCAGTTCCTGTTCTTGAGTCCGAACGTACTTCGGTGACTGTTTCTCATTGTTATGAACATCAGCTTGCCCATTTGCCTGAGTAATACAGTACTTTAGGGGCAAGGAGTATGTTTCCTTCACACGTACCGTTGCTGCGGTGTGCTGTCGAATCAGTTCTGACTCGTAGCAACTACACAGGGCAAACAGAATGGCCCCACAGGGTTCCCCAGGCTGTCACCTTTGTGGGAGCAGACTGCCACATCTTTCTCCCGTGGAGCAGCTGGAAGGTTTGAACAGCCGATCTTTCTGTTAATAGCCAAGTGCTACACTACTGCACCACTAGGTCTCCCCTACCACACAGGAGAGGGGCTTTTCCCAGTGACATTACTGTGATGTGACCTAGTGTTGTGTGTGTGTGTGTGTGTGTGTGTGAGAGAGAGAGAGAGAGAGAGAGTGAGAGAGAGCGCTACCATCTGGAGCCAGTGCCACCACTCAGAATGGGATGCCCATGCAGAGTGCAGTCAGGTCCAAGGCTCTATGACTGGAAGCCAGTCCCCTAGGCCTCTCAGCAAAGTCATACAGATGGAATGTAACTTTTTGGCAAAAGAAATCCCTTCACAGGTTGAGTAGGATAACATTTTTGAATACAATCACAGACCTCCAACAATAAATATCTCTATACACCAGCATGATTACTCTAGTGATCAAGTTACGCTTCTTTAAAGAAGAAACTGGCTAGAAATACACAGCGTTTCGGGTTCACAAATAAGAAGAATGTTGTGCTCAGCATAGTTAATGAGCTTTGTATCAAATCATCTCAAACACATCTTTCAAGTTAACATCACAGTCAAGTATGAAAGGAGAATTAACTTTTAAATTAGTTATCTGTCACCTGAAACTACAGTTCATAATGATTTTCGGTAAAGTGACCCTTCTGGGTTATGCAGACTAGACTCTTCCCAGCTGCCCCTGAGTTCTAGGGTTAAGACAGGGTCTGTGTCATTGGGAATACTAGGGACCTTCTGTTCATAAGACACTGCCGTGCTTCACACGTGACTCCTTCTCTAACCCACAGCCTTCTGGGTAATCAAACCCCCTCTAGGAGGTTGGCAGTGAGCGTCAGCCAGTCGCGGGTGTGACCGACCATATCCTCAGCGGTGGCCATGCTGTGTGGAGGGGTTGAGGAGGGACCTGTGCACTGTTTGTAGGACCTGGAAAGAGGAGGAGCCCACCTAGCCTAACATCTAGCCTACCCATCCCCTGCCACCACAACTGCCTTCGGTGGGGGACATACTTAAGCGTCCCCTGCTGCCACAACTGCTTTCGGTGGGGAACACACCTCACCAGGCTGAGAGGTGACCCCCACCCCCTGCAGAGTCACTTCTTTTAAGATGAAACATCCCTGGCTGGTTAGGCTAAAAGTTGTAAGCAAGAAAAAAGCAGAGCCTATGCATATAGTCCCACTCAAAACAGGCAAGAAAAAAATGACATATTTGGATCTGAAGTGTAACCATTTAGTTACAAAAGTATTTAAGGAGATGAGGTCTAGGGAGTAGGGTTCTGAAACCCAGCACCGGAGCACCGCTGTAGATGGTGATATGGTGACAACGCCCCAACAGAGCCGTGCCCCTCCCCTTCCCCACCCACGGCTGAAGGGGGTCCTCCACCCACTCAGGACAGCCATTCCCCACCACTGGCAGGAAGTGGCTGCCACGATGGGCCCAGCTACAGCAAGAACGGTGAGGCTGATGCAGGGCCGGGCAAGGTTTCGCTCTGCTGTACGCAGGGTGGCTGCGCGTCGGCGCCGACTCAGCGTCACCTAACAACAGCACCACAACAAGGGAACACAGTAAAACAGCGCCTCAACATCCCACCACCGTCGAGTTGACTCCAACTCACAGCGACCCCCACTGGGTTTCCCAGGCAGTAAATCTTTAGAGAAGATTTACTATCTTCCTTCTGAGGAGTGGCTGGTGTTTGAACTGCCAACCTTCTGCCTTTAACATTGTACCATCAGAGCTCCTTAAAAAAGTGCCTAAAGGGATCACTATCAATTTCACTGACCAAAAGTCCTGAAAGATGCAGGCATCAGTATCTATCTTAAAAAAAAAAGAAGAAGAAGAAGAAGAAAGCAGTAACTGAAGAGTTGCTAAAAACATTCCCACCACTAAGACTCACAACAAACCAGTGAGCAGCCCCAAGCAATGCCTTTTTGTTATAAATTGTAAACCAGCGGTGAATCGATTGATTTTTAAACCATAAAATGCCACAGTTTCCTACTAAGTCCAAAGGGCCCTCCAACACGCCTCGTGTCTAAGTCTCCCAGACAGAAAAGCACTGGACAACGGACTCACCATCTACAGAGGCTGGGGTGCTG